CCTCCAACATGCAAGTCCAGGGCAGTATGAACAATCGTTGGCTTGTGACCAGTGCTCATTTGGAGCTTTTGCTGCAGCTAGACATTGGTTTACCGCACGGTGTGTGTCAGCAACACATGCACGTGGCTTGAGGAGCATATTAGAATTGGTTGGGTGATCGTGCATCGGTCCAGCTTTCACACATCAATTAAGAGTCTACTTGAGGCTAGGCCGCTGCTTCACAACACAACGGAGAAATATTGCTTATGACGGCGTCCACGTTCAGTTTGTTAGTTTTAGGCGTGACATCTTGGGGTCCATTAGCATTGCTATCCCCCCTAGTGCATACAGGTTTTCTCTTGGGCTCCAGTTGCAAAGGGTCCTGGTACAGATGGGATTTGTCTTGGGTGGCCAAAATGCATGTGAACCGTACTGCAAACGTTGGCGTCTGCCACATACGCGTTGTTTTTACACCTCCTGCTCGGTTCTTCAAACACAGCGTCTCCTTGGCGACTTGCATCTCGTGATGTATAATTCCCCAATGATGCATAATTTCCCTGATGCAGTGTCTACATGGGGAGATGCATATTCTCACTGACTGATGTGTGATAAGCCTGCCAACTTGTACCCCAGTTGTATATTTCGCGTGCCTGGGATCTCCAATTCCTCAGAGAGGGTGCAGGGTCAATCGTTCCGGCTTGTTGAAGCTTGTAATCAATATGTCGGTCCATTTGCATCCAACGTGCAAGTCCAGGGCAGTATGAACCATCGTTGGCTTGTGACCAGTGCTCATTGGTAGCATTTGCTGCAGCTAGACATCGCTTTATTACGCGCAGTTCGATCATAGTACCCTGCTTGCATTCCTTGCAGATGGTGCGGCGTCATTTCGTTCCGACTTGTTGGAGGTGGCGAGTACCAAATCGGTACACTCGCTTCAACTTTGAAATCAAACTAGTTTTTGCGTGGCATGGTTGCATGCCAGGTTCAGCCAGAGAAGTTTGAGAACGAGCTGGCCAAAGAGGAGTGCGTGATCGTAAAGTGAGGCTTTCAGGATTTACCGGTCTATTGTAGTATTACCAGCTTTAGACCTGAATCCTAACCTGGACAGATGCAGCACGCTACTCAGCTTCTGGCCTTTCATGTCATCAGATGAGCCGAGCCGGCTTCTCTCACGCATTCCCAGAGTCGATGCTCAACCCCTGGACTCCTCCGGGACATGCATGCCGTGCGAAATGGACTAGGCATTAGCATCTTTTGGGTTTTGTCATGGCTGTCCTTTCTGTGGCAGTCCTGTGCATGTCCTCTTCTACATGCAAGGCAGACTTGGTGACTGGATGTTGTTCTTGTGTAGCACACTGCGTTTGGAAGTTCAAAGCTCTGTTCAGACTCAGTTTCCATCAGCCCCATTATGCTCTGTAAGGAGCCTGCAGGAATCAGGTCCTGATACCTAAAACCCCTCGAGTTTGCGTGGGGCCCTGGCTGCTTGAAAGGAACCTCAAGCAGCGGTTGTGGATCTTGCGGACGAAGCCTTCGAATCCGAGGAGGTGGCCTTGGTCCTGGAACGGAAACATGGGTCCAGTGGGCTCAGGCGGCGTAAGTTTTTTTGATAACTTCTTCGTTGCATAGTCTCGCCGCCTTGGTCTAGGATCTTTTAACAATATGTGTTAGAGTCTTAGAGAAAGGTAAAGGTTGTTGTGAGAATCTATAGTTTATCCTGTGGTAGTTGTGTTCGAGCTTGTCAGTGTGCTATGGGGAATGAAGGACTTGCAGTGATCCTTCTGATGGGGTCATTGCTTGCAAATCCAGTGTTTCCGTGAACGGGGCCCCCGCTGCTTGGGATATCTTGTTTGGCTTTGCATTGTTGGGCCCCCGACCTGAACAATCAGGAGCATGCGCGCACTAGTTAGATCGCAGGTTGAAGGCTGGAGAGTTTCTGTAGGCGAAATTTCCGGCAAGTCCATGGTTATGTGCAGTTTAATTTAAGGTATCTTTATTAGGAGAGTCCCAGGAGGAACGATCCCAGGCGATAGCATCGAGGCCACCATCGAATTTCATGCTTTGTTCGTCCGAGAGGAATTGTAAAGTTTGGTTGGAGCTGTTCGTAACGCACCAAGAGCATGAATGGTAACAGGCTCTCGATGAGGATGCCAAGATGGCGAGCCAGGCGGACAGACCTGGTTGTCGCTAAAGCTTCGTCAAAGCAACGGCTTAGGTGTAAGTTTCCCTGGCTACTGGTAGAGAATTATCTGTTCAGTGATCTGGCATGCGCCTTCTGGAACTTTGACACGAGGCTCGAAAGGGTGATGGCAACGAAGGCTTCTTGGATGAACTCCATGGGGAAGCCGCTTGGCTTCACGAGTCGGGGGATGTCTGCTTGATTCCACCAGTGCAGCTGGTTGACGGATCATGTGCACTTCTTCAGTGTGTGGTTTGCAGCGCGTTGCCGTTGCTCTGGTAAGAGGCCAGCCCGTCAGCCACAATAAAGGGAGCGTATCCTGCACGGGCCGAAGCAGTTCATTCAGCTCTGTTTATCAGGGAGCAGCTCCAGAGGATGTGGAGGAGGTCGACACGAACGAGGAGGCCACGTGGCGGGCGGGTGGCTTCCTCTCCCTGCATCATGTTCTTCCTGGCTTCCTTGGCTGGGTAGCTGATGATTACGTTGTGCTATTTTCATGAATGATCAAGGCATCACATTGGCAATTTCAGGGAAACTGTTGCTCGGGTCCGATTGAGAGCCTTCCAAGAAGAGTTTTGGCATGGCTTGAGGACTGTCGGTTTGGGCTGGCAATCTTCAGCTGCTAGCTGCTGTAGAGTCGCATGACATGTAGTTTCAGATGATCCCCGGATAAGAACGACTGGCTCCCCAAAACCACCTTTGAGGGAATCCTTCTTCTTTGGGGGCTCCTCAGACAATATCTCGCCTCAGTAGTAGCATTGGCTCAAACCTTTCAAACTTGCAAGAAGAACAGGACAGCCTCCCAGCTCCTGCGGCTGACGAGGCCAGTACAGCAGCAGACGGTTTGCTCTATCAATGTCATTAAGCGTCTCAGTCTCAGGATTTTGAGAGGTTTGCAAGGTGGGTCCAGCTATGTCCAGCTGCCGTGCCTCCATGATATCTGCGCGCTCTACAAACCATTCAAACGGCCAAAAGGCTAAGAGAGGTCTCTGGGTTGTCTCCATGTAGTGATGTGCGACTCCCCACTCGTGAGTGCACTTGCGAGGCATTCATCCCCGAATGCCCGTGAAGATAGACCTGCTACAGCACGTTCACTCTAGAACTCAGTGTGCCACTTACTGTTGCTCGCCGGTTGCCTTTATGCTGGGGCTGCTCCTGAATGTGCTTGGGGTGCAGCCAGTTATGGATATGGCCTGGCAATATGGAGAGCCAAGCAAAGCCAAGGCGGAGACTGAAACACCTCGGCAGAACCTTGGAAAGGGAACCAGCGGTAGACGGCTTCACTAAAAAGCGATACAGGGCCAAGAATCAGCTCAGCTCCCCACAACCCTGAACCCCAAAACGCCTGACCCCACAAGCGCATCATTTGCGCAGCTCCGGCGGCTGGCACAGCGACTTCGCGAGACCGAGGCCGGCAATTTTGGTTTTGGATTTGTGAAGGCGGCTTTTAGCAGTTGGCCAAATGTTACGCATGCCCTTATGCGAGATACACCCTGCTTTTGTGCTGAGGAGACTGCAAGTACATGTGGAATTGCTGGACCGCATCTTGATAACCTGCATTGAGAAAATCCTTCCCAATCCTTTGCCGTTGGACAGAAACCGCAGCCTCTTTTCGGGGCTCAGGGTGTCAGGGCACCATGCAAAGGGCTCAATGGTGGAGCGTTGCCAAACTCTTGTTCTTCAACTTTACATTCCTCACTGAGAGTCCCTTTCAGTGAGCCAGTGTCTGAGGCTGCCCTTGCAGCTTTGGAGGAGGCCAAAGGGACCTACTTCTCACCCCAGATGAGATCCGTTTTCACTCACTCTCGTAATGCCGGTGGGGAGGGGGCGGCGGAGGTAGGTCATCGTCCTAGTAGTATGATTCGTCGTTGTCACAGCAGCATCAGCAGCAGCAGCGGCCCCGGTGGCGTTGGAGGTGGTAGTGGCTGCGGCTTCAGCGGCGGCGGCGGCGGCGGCGCTAGTATCATTCTTCTTTCTGCTTCCTTATTATTATCAGTAGTAGCGGTGGCAGTAGTACCAGTGGTGGTGGTGATGGCAGTGGTAGTAGTACTACTACTAGTAGTAGTAGTAGTAGTAGTAGTAGTAGTAGTAGTAGTAGAATGCCATGAAATCCTACTCAATATATGCTAGCACTTTCCTGTCCCCATGAATAGCGCAGATGCATGGTGACGGCTGCTGCACCTGACCTCCTCACGCAGGATTGCACGCAGATGTTCCCGGAAGAAGGGATCGACGAGGCGACGTAGAAGCGAGTTACTACTCCCACCCATGCTGCAGCTGGCAGCAGCCTAGGCGTAGGCACGATAGCAATGCGTCCATCTAGCCCCGCGTTTCTCTACACATGCGAGCTCAAAGGGCGAGGCCGCATTTCCTGAAACAAGAAGATGGCATCTGGACGCATCGGGCAACACCCTGTACGTAGTGTAAGATTGTAAGCAGCGATCCACCTCCTACAGCTGTCAAACCACACGAGAGCCAAGTGAACAAGCTGCAGAAGGCTCTGGGAGAAGCTGCAGAGGGGAGCCTTTGCGTGCCCTGAAACTTCTCAAGCCATCAACCAGCTGGAGCCCACTTTGCAGGAGGCAAATCCCCAAGCCGTGGAGGACAATGAGGACCTTTCGCTTGGTTTTTGAAATGAGCTGAGGGCCCGCTTTGATTTGTGCATGGATGTTGTCAAAGGCGATTTTCCATTTCATGTGAGAAGGTTACACTGGCATCCAATCTGCCTCACAGTCTGCATGTTCACTCTGAGACTGTCTCCTTGCAGATGCGCGAGCCAACTCTGGCGACCAGAGTAAATTGGCCAAGCTTCGGAGAGGCACCCCTTAGTGAGCCTGTTGTTCTGCATCGCTGGTCTCCGCCAATGCCCGCAATTTCATGAGACAATCTCAAGCTCCGCAGCTGCATCCCAAACAGCAAGCGCCTCAGATTCGCCTCTGGGACTTTACCACATGGACAGCCTGAAGCCCATGCTGGGCAGGTGGCCACTTGAAAGCTTCAGGGGCGTTTGTTTCTGCTTCGGGAGGCCTGGCCCCTTCGGTGCTCTGGAAGCAGCCTCGGGCTGGCAGCGCTGCGGCAGCTGCCTGTGCCCGCCAGGTTCAACCCCCCGGGGGCAACATGCATGAGGACTTGCAGAGTGTATTTGTTGGGAGGAGGATGCGGGTGAAACGGTGTAGCAGAAGGTTGCGGCAAAGTTGGCGTGCGCGGAGGTAGCCTTACGTGTGTTGGCTACTATAGGGAACACACGAGGGAAGAAAGCAGTCAGGTTGGAATGTGCAGCATCTGTTTCTCGCGTACATGGGCCGAATTTGCTCTTTCATGCAAAAAGGTCTTGGAGATTTTTTGGGCCGGTTCTCGCTCTTGCCGCTCTCGCTCTTCCATTCGCAGCTTCTGTGGACAAACTGACCACAACATCCAATCATGAGGGGCGCTGGGACAAGCCTCGTAGCTGAGCCAACCTACTACTGTAAACAGTTGCAGCCCCATGTTTGAATCTCGACGGCTCGGATCCAAACTACATCTGTGGACGGACATGGACCCGGCTTCTCGCAATTGTTGCAGTGGGAGGTCCAGCTAGTTTTTTGTTAAGTAACTGTGGCTCGTGCTCGACTCCAGCTGGATTGGAGAATTTGCTCCTTTCATCCGCACAAGGCAGCCGTCACTACAATATCGCTTGAACTTATTTAGTGCTGCGATGAGTTCTGGGGGCAGCGGCCGGGCCCGACGTCTGCTGGAGGCCAGTTGAAGGGGACTTGATGTAGGGCTTGAAGCGCTTCCAGTTTGTGGGTTCTTCCATCTTCGCGTGCTGAGAAAAAGTTTCCCGAGAGCGGCTAGGGGCAAATCCATTGCAGAATCGGGCCGGCTCGGCAAGGATAGGGTTTTGAGCCACAGCCTCACGACAAAGGTATATACAAAGAAAGCAACAGTCTCCTGCTGCCGCACTGCTGCTGCACTGCTGCCGCACTGCTGCGCACTGCTGCCGCGCTGCTGCCGCGCTG